CCTCCTGTCCCTGTTCCCTGGGATGAGATCCCAAATCCCCCCCGGCTGGCCCCTCCTGTCAGGGAGTTTTGAGAGCAATTAAGGGAAAGAAATAATTATTGAAGTGTAATTTATGGAGGAGTGGATCAGAACAGCCACCCTCCTGCCCACCCACCCCATTTTTGAGTGATCTGCACCTCCCAAAGCAGGCAAGTCTCAAACTGAATTTGGGAAGGGCTCCTGAAAAACGCTGGCACGGGGAGAACATAAAGCAGGTTTGGAAAATACATCATTAAAAGGCAGAAAACAACACAGAGAGTGAAACTCGGCCCTGGATCCATGTGGAAAACTGAGATTTCTGCCTCTGTGACAGGAGCTGTGCCTCGGGGTGACACCCAGGGGACAGCCCCAAGCTGCACCTGAGGGGGTTTGGGTTGGATTTTAGGAGAAGTTTCTTCAAGGAAAGGGTTGTAAAGCAAGGTTATGGAGAAGAATTCTTGGGAGGGGCAGAAAATTCCAGGAGGGGTCTGGAAAGGTTTAAAGGTGACAGGATGTGGGGTGACCCCACTGGAGGTGTTCCCTGCTGTGCACACACAGAAAAATGCAGAAATAAACAGAAAAACGCAGAGAAACACACACACACAGTGAAATGCAATCAGAAAAACACAGAAACACACCAAATCCACACAGAAACACACACACAAGGACACAGAGAAATACAAACAGAAAAACACACAAAAACCACACAGAACCCAAAAAGAAACATGAAAATCACACAAAAAAACCCACACAAACATATGAACACGCAGAGAAACAGAGAGAAACACACAAAAACCATACAAACCCACAGAGAAACACAAAAAATACATTAAAAACCACACAGAAACACACAGAGAAACACAGAGAAATGCACAAACACACAAAAACCATACAAACACACAGAGAAACACAAAAAAACACAAAAAGCCCCACAAAACATACACAGGAACACACATAAAATCACAGAAATACACAAACACACAGAAACCCACACAGAAAAATCACAGAGAAATACACAAACACACAGAGGAACACACAAACACACAAAAACACAAAACCCCACCACAAATACACACAAGAACACAAAAAAACACAGAGAAACACACAAAAAACCAAACAAAAACCACAAAGAAACACAGAAAAAACACAAAAAATACAGAAAACACAGAGAAAACACACAAAAACCACAGAGAAACATAAGGAAACACACAAACCCACACAAGAATACACACAAACACACAGAGAAACACACAAAAACCATAAAGAAACACAGAAAAAACACACAAAAAACCACAAAAAACCATACAAATCCACAGAGAAGAACACACACACAGGAACACACAAACACACAAAAGAGAAACACACAAAAAACACAGAAAACCCACAAAGAAACACAGAAAACACAGAGAAACACAGAAACCCACACAAGAATACACACAAACACACAGAGAAACACACAAAAACCACAAAGAAACACAGAAAAAACACACAAAAAACATACAAAACCCACAGAGAAACACATAACACACACAAACCCACAGAGAAAAACACACACAGAGAAACACAGAGAAAAACACACAGGAACACACAGAGAAACACACAAAAAACACAGAAAACCCACAAAGAAACACAGAGAAACACAGAGAAACACACAAACCCACACAAGAATACACACAAGCACTCAGAGAAACACACAAAAACCATAAAGAAACACAGAAAAAACACACAAAAAACATACAAAAAACCATACAAACCCACAGAGAAACACAGAACACACACAAACCCACAGAGAAAAACACACACAGAGAAACACAGAAAAAACACAGAAAACCCACAAAGAAACACAGAGAAACACAGAAACCCACACAATAATACACACAAACACACAGAGAAACGCACAAAACCCATAAAGAAACACAGAAAAAACACACAAAAAACATACAAAAAACCATACAAACCCACAGAGAAACACATAACACACACAAACCCACAGAGAAAAACACAAAAAACACAGAAAAATCCACACAAGAAGACACAAAAACACACAAAACCCACAGAGAAACACAGAGAAACACAGAAACCCACACAAGAATACACACAAACACTCAGAGAAACACACAAAAATCACAAAGAAACCCAGAAAAAACACACAAAACCCACACAAAGCCAGCCAAAGGCACATCCAGGGCTGCTCACCTTGTTGGCCAGCAGCAGGCAGGGCACGGGGCTCCCATCTGGCAGCACCAATTTGCTGTCCAGGTCCTGTTTCCACCTGTGGCTGTTGCTGAAGGTGCTGCTGTTGGTGACATCGAACATGATGACACAGGCTGAGGCTTCCCTGTAGTACAGGCGGGTCATGGATGTGAAACGTTCCTGCCCTGTGGGGTCAAAAAGAGAGGAAAAAAAAACAACCCCCAGCTGCTGGTCGGGGGTTTGAGCATGGAAATCGTGGGTTTATGGGTTGTTCTTGCAGCTGGAATTAATGAGGGTGGGTTAATTAGTGAGGGGGGGGGGTCAGGTATTGGATGTGTTCTGCCTGGGTTTCTCTGTACTGGGAAGGTTTTAGGGGGTAAAATCATGAAATTCTTGATTTGTTTGGGTTGAAAGGGGGTAAAGATGTCACCCCCCTGCCATGGGGCAGGGACATCTTCCCCTATCCCAGAGTGCTCCAAGTGCTCTGGGACATTGCCAGGGATGGGGCAGCCCCAAAATTTTGCATTATTTATTGTCAGTGTCCCTCAGTGCCAGCCTCCAACTCCTTTTTGAGGCCAAAACTGAAACCATTTTCTTGCTGCTCTGCTCACTCTGCCAACTTCTCCTTCCTGTTGCCTTTTTAAGGATTCCAGGCACCCGAGAAGCAAAACCAGAGGAAACCACAGCCTTGTTTTCCTCCCTGCTCCACACCCAGAGGTGCCATTTTAGAGATGCTGCTGCTGCCCAAACCTCTCCTGATGCCAGGGAATTTGGGAAATTCATTTCTCTGCCCCTCACCAGGGAGCAGGAACTCCTAGTGCCACTCCAGCTCTGTAATTCTGTCCCCCAGAGTGTGTCTCATTGCCAGAAATTTGGATTTTAACACAGGATTGGAGCTGAGCAGTCTCATATGCAGCCAGTTCCACATTCCCTCTGCTCTGGCTCTGGAGCAGAAAGGAAAGGCTCAGCAGGAATTGCTGTGTGCATTCCTTGCAGGTGGATTTTTAATTAAATATTTAAATTATTACAGCAGGCTCGAGGCAGTAAAGCAAAGCAGTCCTGCCCCTGGAATCCACAAGCTCCTGGGATTTATTTTTGGAGGAGAAGGAAAAGGAAGAAAAAGAAAGAGGAAGGGGGAAAGAAAGGGGAAGGAAAGGGGGGAAGCAGAGAAAGAGGAAGGGGAAAAAGAAGGCAAAAAAGGCCAAAAAAAGAGAAATTTTTTAACAAAATCTTTAAAATACCTGCAATGTCCCAGAGCTGCAGCCGAACCGTCTCTGACTCTGACCACTGAACCACTTTCAGTGCAAAATCCACTGGAGAATTCCCAAAAAACCAGAAAGGAAACGTGATCAGGGCCATTCTGCACCACAACCTCTCCCCATCCCCAGGGCACCAGCCCAGCCCCAAGCACAGGATCCTGGCTCAGGGTCACCAGCCCAAGCACAATTCCAGCCTGGACAATTCCAGCAGAATTCCCAGGGGCTTGGAGGCACCTGGGACAGGTAAAGGTGTCCCTGGCCATGGGCTGAGAGGAGCTGTGAGCTCCCTCCCGACCTGAACCAGCCCAGATTTGCTGCAAGAAGCCCAGGGAGTCCCAAAGGGGAAGCCCTGGCTTGTTCTCAGATCCTGAAGTGTCAGGGTTTCACTGCAGGGCCAAACCTGCCCTGCTCCAGACCCAGAACCAGGAACAAAGCACTAAAAAAAAAATTAAAAATACAACCAAGAAAGCAGTCTGCAGCATTTCCTGCTGGGTGGGTGGCACAGCCCAGAGCTCTGTGGTTCTCTGGTGTTTTCCAACCCCAAATCCGTCCCCTCTCAGGCCAGGAATAAGAAGATTTAAACAGCTCTGCCCAACCCTCATCATTTTGGGTCCTTGGGGAGATTTCCTGGGTAAACCCTTGGCAGCTCCTGCTCCTTCCAGGTTGTTCATTTACACAAAGAACCCAAATCCTGCTCAGCCCCAATCCCAGCCTGCTCCTCCCAGACCTTCCCGACCCCTCAGCAGCGAGGCCAGGCTCTCCAATTAATGCCAAACCAGCGCTCCTGATGGTTTTACTGGGATGAAGCCAGCCTGTAAATTCAGATTATCCATTTTACAGCTCCTGGGGTGGTTATTCCATGGGGTGGGAGAAGGATGGGACACCCGAAATAAACCAGACAGAGGAACAGAATCCCCGGGGAGCTCAGGGCAGAGGCTCCGGGAGTTAAAACCCCATAAACCACCGATGATAGGCGGCTGTTCCTACCCTAAATTCCCAACCCCAGAGCCCGGGCAGGACGGGGGGCAGAGGGGCGAGTTCCCCGGGGCTGGGGGCGAGGAGCGCGGCTCGGGATGCGCACCGGGACGGGAGAGGTGCCGGACCCGGGAACTCCCTGGAACCTCCCGAGAACCCCTGAAAACCCCCTGGAACCCCCCAGAACACCCCTAGAACCCCCAGAAAAGCCCCTGGGAACCTCCAGAAGCCCGGGCAGGACGGGGGGCAGAGGGGCGAGTTCCCCGGGGCTGGGGGTGAGGAGCGCGGCTCGGGATGCGCACCGGGACTGGGGAGAGGTGCCGGACCTCGGGAACCCCAGGAAACCCCTCGGAAACCCCTCGGAAACCCCCAAAACCACCCGGAGAGCCCCCGTGGAACCCCCAGGAGCCTGGGCAGGACTGCCCGGGGCAGAGGGGCGAGTTCCCCGGGGTGAGGGGCGAGAAGCGCGGCTCGGGATGCGCACGGGGACGGGCGCGGTGCCGGATCCGGGAACCCTCTGGAACCCCCAAAAAACCCCCGGGAACCCCCAGAAAACGCCCAAAAACCCCCCCGTGGGCCCGGGGAGGGCTCACCTCCCACGGTGGATTTGTAGTGCCGGTTGAAGCTGTCGTTGGCGTAGCGCTGCACCAGCGATGTTTTGCCCACCGTGGCGTCCCCCACCACCAGCACCTTGAACATCCGATCGCGCTGCCCCATCCCGGCCCGGCCCGGCCCCGCTCGGTCATGTGAGGGTCAGGTGGGGCAGCGGCGGAGCCTGCCGGGGCTGCCGGGATCTGTAGTTTAATGCTTTCCGTCTGAGCCAGCCCCGAGCATCGCCAGGGCCAGCCCTGAATATCCCCTGTGTCCCCAGATCCTGCTCTGTGCATCCCCTGTGTCCCCAAATCCTGCTCTGTGCACCCCCAGATACAGCCCTGAACATCCCGTGTCCCCAGATTCTGCTCTGTGCACCCCTAAATCCAGCCCTGAACATCCCCTGTGTCCCCAAATACTGCTCTATGCATCCCCTGTGTCCTCAAATCCTGCTCTGAACATCCTCTGTGTCCTCAAATCCTGCTCTGAACATCCCCTGTGTCCCCAAATCCTGCTCTATGCATCCCCTGTGTCCCCAAATCCTGCTCTATGCATCCCCTGTGTCCTCAAATCCTGCTCTGAACATCCCCTGTGTCCCCAAATCCTGCTCTATGCATCCCCAGATCCAGCCCCGGGTACCCCAAATCCTGCTCTGTGCACCCCTAAATCCTACTCTGAACATCCTCTGCACCCCCAGATCCAGCCCTGCACATCCCCTAAATCCTGTTCTGTGCATCCTGAGATCCAGCCCTGCATCCCCCAATCCTGCCCCATGCACCTCCAGATCCAGCCCATGCACCCCTGGATCCTGATCCCTGCACCCTCAGACCCAGCCCCACAAAATTTGGGAGAGCACAAACATCTCTCTCCCAACACATTTTTAGTTTTCAAACAATGCTCCCCTATTGCTGGCATTTCTCCAAGCTGTTAAAAGCCCAAGGGTTCCTTTCTGCTCCTTCCCCCAGCCAGGAGATGCCAACACAACCCAGGACAAGCCCCAAAATTCACCCCAAAATGTGAAGCCAGCAGGGTCTGGGGGCTGCTCCCCAAACCCAAGGCTTTGTTTTGGGATTCTGCACCAATTCCTGCAAATCCAGGAGGTTTTTTTCTGCACCCCAGAAGGTGCAGAACCCCTATGTCCTACTAAATCAGCAGAAAGGGGCAGGGGCCACATGGCAGCAGCTCCTGGGGAGCAGGACCTGGATTCTGAACCCAGGGAGGGCCAGAACAAACACCTGGATTCCTGCTGGGAGCCCCCAGAAGCTGAGCAAGGGCATGGCCGAGGTCACCTGGCACTCACAGTAATCCCAGCTTGCCTCATGCCCAGCAATTTATTTGATTTTCGTAATTCTCCTATCAAAAGAGCTCCAGCCTGAGCTCAAATGAGCTTCAAAAATCTGAGAAGGGCCTTGAACCCGAAGGAAAAAAAAACACCACAGTCCACATAAATAAATGTCATCTTTATTTAACCAAATATAATTTATCCATTAAGGTCAACATCTGTCAGTTATAGGAACTATAAATAATTAAGACAGTCTTTTTGCTTTAATAAAAGAGTAAACCAGGATTTTGATCTGCAGGCAGCTGTGGAGAGTAGGCATGCATTGGAGTGCAACCAGTGGGAAGAGGTTTGTAATATTTTTTTTGTGTTTCCATCGATATTCCTCAGTTTTGAATTAGATTCTTCCCTGACCATTCCCCAAGCACACCTTTGACCATTTTTAATGTACAGACCCCACCACCCCTGACCAGGAGAGGCAGATTCCTCCTCTAGGGAATCTTTTCCTGGGGAATGAAGTGATGTGACAGCAGAAAGGCCAGCAGAGTTTCTCTGTGTATCCATAAAAGCTGAAGTGTTAATGGAAAGAAATCTTGCATTTATTCCTCAACATCAGGCAGAGAAATCAAGTGAGCAGCTGAGAATATTCCAGAAAAATATTCCAGAAGTCCCTGGGCTGAGAGGTCAGCACAGCAGGGACTGGGTTTGTTTTGTGGTTGGGTTTTTTTACCTGGAGCACAGCTTTGGCCAAAGGAGATGTGTGAGATGTCCCAGAGTGGAGGAGGAGGATCAGAGCTGATCCCACACAGGAGATGGAGCAGAGACAGGAGGAGTGAGCCTGATGTTGGATTAGCAAGGGAATAAAAAAAAAGGGGGAAATCATCTCAGAAATACAACCCTGCTCTTGTGAGGGGCTGAGAGGAGCAGCCTGGAGCCCATCCCTGCCTCCTGCACACCTCCAGCAGCAGGGAAAGGCTCCCACAACTCCAGAGAGGGCCTGGAGCAGCCAAGGGCCAGGTTTGGCTGCAAATCCCGTGGGATTCCAGAATTCCCAAATCCTGACCCCTTTTCCAGCAGTGTCAGCTGTGGAGTGAGAGGATCTGCACCCAGACCCTGGGCTGGGACACGGATCCTGGACTAACTTTGGTCTTCACTTGCCCATCTGGGTGCCCTCTCTGGATTTTTGCTGCCTTCCCATCAGGGGCAAGAGAAGGAATTCCAGCCAGCCCCGACGTGAGCAGCACAAAAAGCAGGAGGGGAAGCAGCAGAGGAGGGAACCCTGCACTCCCAGCTGGGCTGGACCCCAATCCCAAATTCACACGAGGGGGGGCTCCTGTGCCACAGGGCTGCACCAATCCAGCTGTGCCTGCACTTCCAGCTGTTTCCTTCCACAGAGAGAAATCCTGTGGATCCCATGGACATCCTTTCCTAACAGGCACCAGGAACAAAGCCTTCCTCCCCAGGCTCAGCTGGGGGAGGTGCTGGGCCCATCAGCAGCACTGGACACGAAAAGCAGGAGCTGTTTGTCCACCCAGGAGGGCTCCAGAGAGGATGTGTGGGGCAGGGGACGGTGGGGAGAGCTCAGAGCAGCTGAGCCCGGCTTACCAAGGCAGGAACAGCAGAGCAGTCTGGGCTGGGGGGCACAAGGGAGCCTGAAGGAGCCAGGCAGGGCTGGGGGATCTCCAAATGAGCTCACTCACATCGCTGGGGTGAACACAGGAGCCTTCCTCATCACCCTCCTCATCCCCAGCTCGGGGTGTGAGCTCCAGAGAGCCCCGTGCCCTCAGCCAGGAGGGGCCAGCTCAGCCAAACCAAAACCTGCAGGGAGCAGGGTTTAAACCTGCAGGGTTTAAAACGCTTATGAAGCGAAAAAAGCGGCCCTTCACCTCCGGGGGGGGCTCCCTGCACGACCTGACAGAGCAGGAACTTCACTGGAACCTTGGTTCAGACAAAACTGCCACGAAAATTGCACTTAGTGATTGTCTCGTTACACTTTTGTTTTTGTTTGCTTGTTTGTTTGTCCTCCCTAAAACTAGATAGATTCTCTGTACAAACTCGGCTTGAAGTAGAAACCACGTAAAATTCCCATTGAAAATAATGAGAATCCAATATCAAAGATGAAATCCGGAGGGGGTGGGAGGAAAGGGGAAGCAAAGAAACAACAAATGGAAGGGGGAGAGCTGTGGGAAGGGAGGAGCAGAGGGATTTAATCCCCAACATCAGAGTCCCGGTCACCAATGAGCCAGAGCACGTGGAAGCTGAGGGCCAGGAGCCCTGTCCCAATGAGGTCCCCCAGGGCTGTCAGGTAGGGGATGGAGAAGTTGTCAGGGTCCAGGTGCCTGCCCCACATCCAGTGCACCATCCAGTCAGCGATGTAGAGCAGGATCAGCACCTGGAAGAGCCACAGCTGCTGAGCCCTGAGCCCAGATCAGCTCAGCCTGGCCCAGGGAAACACAGCAAAACCCCAAAAATGGAGCTGGAACTGTCACACACAGCTCCTGAGCCTAGATCAGCCCAGCCTGGATCAGGGAAACACAGCAAAACCCCAAAAATGGAGCTGGAACTGTCACACACAGCTCCTGAGCCCAGATCAGCCCAGCCTGGATCAGGGAAACACAGCAAAACCCCAAAAATGGAGCTGGAACTGTCACACACAGCTCCTAAACCCAGATCAGCTCCAGGAAATGCCAACTCCACATCCTCTTTCCAACCATCACCCCCCAGGACAGATTAGGAGGGGAACACTTTGGCTACCAAAAGGACTTAAAAAGAGACCAAAGGCAGATTCTAAAGTCCCCAGGAATGGCAGGATAGAGGAATTGTGTGTCCAGGAAGGACAATCCCACCCGGGCTCCCTGTGCCCAGCACGGAATCTCTCGGGCAGGGCCAGGGTCTGTACACCTGGGCAGGTGCCCAATACAGGTGACACCCGTGTCCCCGGAGCCAGCCCAGCCCCCTGAGGGCTCCCAGCTCACCTGGAGCAGCGCTGCTGTCATGTAGAAGACGATGAAGATGAGGGTGAGCGTGGTGTGTCCCCCCTGCATGGAGCTGATGGTGTAGAGGAACACCAAGTGCCCCGGCACCACCAGCAGGAAGAGCACACGAGCAGAGCGGGAGTTCACGTCTGCAAAGGGGACACCAGGCCTGACTTAAACCCTGCAGGTGTCCAAGGCCAGGCTGGGCAAGGCTTGGGAGCAGCCTGGGATAGTGGGAGGTGTCCTGGATGAGGTTGAAGGTCCTTTCCCACCCCAAACCATTCCGTGATTCCACACCCCAAGGCTGCAGGGATTTTTTTTTTGCAAGGATTTTTTTGGGGGGGATGATCCTGTGGGTCCCCTCCAGCTCATCCCACACCCACATTTCCCTACCCCAAGCCTGACCATCGATCCCAGAGCTGCCCTGAGCCCCTCCCTTGGCTGTGACAACGCTGCAGCCACAACCCCAGGAGCTCAGCTGGCACAAACCCTGCACCCACGGCCCTACCTGAGCTGAAGAAGGTGCTGCAGGGGCTGGGACACCTCCTGGGGGCCGGGCCAGGGCTGTCTCCAGGCTCCCCACTCATGTGCAGGTAGGTGGAGATGCGGCTGGCCTGCACTGCCACCAGGTTGCCACCCACACCTGCAGGGCACAGACAGCACTCAGGGCACGTCCCAGGCGCCTCCAGGAGCTCCTCTCAGCACACCTGGAAGTGCCAGGTGCTGGAGTGATGTGGGACAGTTTATTTTTCACCCCAATTCTGCTTTTGTAGGGTGTGAGGAGCTGGGGCAAAGCTGAAGCAGTTCTGTTACTGCAGCTCAGCGTGGAAGAAATAAGTGAAACAAAAATGATGAGTCAGGCACCAAAACAGACACAGGAAGTTCAAAACTATTCTTTTTCACATGAAGCTGTGAAAACCAGCAGCACAAGATGCACTGGCTCAGAATTAACTCCACCTATTGCAAAAACAATTCACAAATTGAGTTCTCCTGGTGAGAAAGGAGGTGAAAACTTTACACCAGAACCAATCAGATTTCCTGACTCCAAGGTACAAAAACAAATCTTTGTGTTGCCAGGCGCAAATATTTTGGAAGGTGAGGGTGTTCCACCAGGCAGGAGGAATAAGGAAATGAAGAAATCCCTGGAAATGTGGGTTTTTAGGGAATAGCCTCCCAGGCCTTTCACCTGTAAGGGTGGCACAGCCAAACCTGTGTGCCCCTGGTTACCTAAAGGAGTAACTTTTCTAAAGGAA